ATATATATATATATATATATATATATATATATATATATATATATATATATATATATATATATATATATATTTAGCTTTGTAATTTCGAACACTTACAGATCAAGGCAAAGTCTTCTATATCTTGGTCTTTCAACCATGACTGTGGCTTAAAGTGTACTGTCAAGCTTTTAAAAAAAGTTCCCAAACTTAATTTTCTACGGTATTATAACACCAATTGCAAAAATTTTATAATCGCTCCCGTGTAGAATCAAGTGTAAGAGTTCCTTACGCAGGAAAATAAAAAAATAACCGAGGTCGGTTAGGTTCACGAAAGGAATTATATGTTTGTCGAAATTCTGTGTCCATATCAACATATAACCCTAGTGGTAGCCTTCTCCATGGAATCCTCGGCAATCGGACCTCGCTTTAATTACTTTTTCTCCTTCTATTTGTAGGATTAATACATGTTAAAATTGGTCGATATTACGAACGCTGGAGGCGGTTGCAACTAAGACTTGCCGATATTAGTTTAATATATTTTAACCTCATCCCACATGCGAAGCTAGTGTGCAGCAATTTTAGCAGGTGTAAAAGTGGGAGAAAAGTAAAATTGAAACGAGCTAGGTCTCATCCGAAGGGCGAGCGTTTCAAATCTAAATAAGGTCAAAATTTATTACCCCTCGTCAAGAAACTTGAGCCCAATTTTTTTTTTTTTGATTTTCTACATATACTGCTATATTTAGCTTTGTAATTTCGAATGTTTACAGATCAAAGCGAATTATTTTATATTTAATTTCGGCTTCTGTTCATTACTGTAATTGAAAGTGTACTACTATATCAAGCTTTTAAAATACGATTCAAAACTCAAGTTTTTGCGCTATTCAAACACCAATTTCAAAAATTGTATGCCGAAAAATAGAAGAAATACTCGAGATCAAAACGAGGGATGTTACATATTCGTCGAAATTCTGTATCCACATCAACAATTAATTGGCAAGCCTTGCTAATTAGGATTTCGGACCTCGCCTTAATTGTGTTTTTCTCTTCTATTTGTACATGTTAAAATTGTTGGATACTGCGCATGCGGGATGCGATTGAAACTAATTTAGATTTTCCGATATTAACCGGATGCATCCCATGGCCATGCGCAGTGAGCAACAATTTAACAGGTATAAAAGGAGGAGAAAAGCAAAAATTAAACGAGGCCAGAATGGCCGGGGTTGACTATTATCAACTGGAAATTCAGATATCGGGCCGGCTGTTCAATGCTAGGTTAGCGCTAACCATGGATTAAAATTCAACCTGCTGTTTTAGTATATCTATTCGACACGTCTGTTTATTTCAAAACTTCAGAGAAGACAATCCTACTGATGGAGACAAAATTTCCAATTAAGAATATCCTAATGAGGATTTTGAAATTATTGTTCAAGTATTACGGATAAACCATTTGTAAACAATGTACGTTTTATACAGTACTGAACGGGTTAATAATATATGTATCCGTTTTATTTAATAAATTAAAATTTGTATATGTGTTTGCATATTTTACAAACACAAGACTGCTTCTTGCCAAAATTGAGAAAATATATATTAATGTAGTTGTGTATAGGACAAAATGAAAGATTCTACTTTTGGTATATATTTTGACTCATTTTGTGCTTTCGCTACACCTGCAAACATTATGATAAAAACCCCGATTTTTAGACGTGTATACAAATAAAAATATAAAGTTTATACTATAAATGAGTTTATTTTACCTGTATCGGTTTAAATTCGCTGTTAAGTTGCAAATAATTCTGTTTGAGAACGCAACAATTGGGCATTTCGCAACCGGGCAGTTTCAGAGCAGTTTTGGCCTTGTTGTTGGGGAATTCACAAGGCCTTCTATTTTTTCGTTTGCGTCAGGCTTGCGTCCTTCCTCCGCCCGCCCCCAAATCACTTATCCCACTCTTTTCATGTGAAAAAGCGCTGAATATTAAAAAAATGTACTATGAAATAAAAATAGAAGGCCTAGGTCTAGGCTGGAGTCAACCGAGTCAGTTGACTCGGTAGAAATTTGGGGACTGAAATTTAAACATCGCCAGAAACCTAGCTAAACCGTGGCTGAAATAATTTGCTCGTTGACAAAGCATGAAAGAGACCACCCACTGTTTAATTTCTAGTTGGAACACTCCTCGACATGCTGGAAATAGCCTATCTGAGCTTCAAGAAATCCAATATTTTCTGGGGAGGATGTCCACAGACCCCTCCAGGCAGCTCACACCTTCAGCGCTCGACTCGGTTGTCTTAGAATCCTAGTGAGGAGCCGGATCTGTTGCCCTAAGACGTATAGTTATTAGTTATTAGTTAACCATGTATACTGTATATAACTATATATGCTGGTTTCTCCAGGTCCCCAGCGAAATATGCCCCCCCCCCCCCAGTTACACATCCTTGGAAGAGGACCTGATAGTTTTGTGATCACCAAGCCTGAGGTGACTAATTGTTGTAGTATAAATTCGTTATTAAAGAATAATAAAATATACAAACGTTATAAATATAATTCACTTCACTCTTCCGCTTTGTCGCCCGATTCCGTTATTCTCCGGTTTTAAATTAAATTGCCAAATAAATTGTTTTAGGTATCTAAAAGGTGCTTTTATCTTTCGGAAATAGGTTAGCACCATATATTGTTGCTTCTTTTGCTCTTAGAGGAATAGTATGTGCCCTTAATTTCTTCAATTGTTTCTTCGATGATTTGTTTGGAAGTGGATTTTCTGCAGCAATTTTGTTTCGAAAGCAGGGACCTGCTGGTGTCTTGAAAAGGACGACGAATGAGCAACGTTTGATGGGGCCCAGTGACGGATGGATCAAGAGTGGGGGTATTACTGATCAAATGGGGGTATTACTGATCAAACATGAAACGTTTCAGCCGCATTTTTCCCCAAAATTGTTGGCGAGCGGCTGGAGGGGGGACATTTGAAAATATTTACCGTATTTGTTAAATTTTTTGGTAATATTTCCGTAAATTTAGATTTTAAAATTTAAATTTTAATATCTTAATCTTGATTATCAAAACTACAAGTTGAATTTTTTTATCTTTTCCAATTTTATGGGCCCATGATGGCAGGGGCCCACAACAAGTTCTTGTCGGCTCGTCCCTAGCCAGCACGGCCGTGTTCGAAAACAATAGTTACTGCTCACTGCTCACTATTGCCTCAGAGTTACTGCTGAGGGAGCCAACCATTTCAACTAATTTCTAATATATAGATCAATCGCACAACCGGGGTGGTAATGGTGGTGTGCATATTGTCAACACAGACGCTTGTCAAACCAGGATGCATGAGGGCAAAATTAGTTATTAGTTAACCATGTATACTGTATATATGCTGGTTTCTCCAGGTCCCCAGCGAAATATGCCCCCCCCCCCCCAGTTACACATCCTTGGAAGAGACCCTGATAGTCCTGTGATCACCAAGCCTGAGGTGACAAATTGTTGAATTGTAGTATAAATTCGTTATTAATTTAAAAAATAATAAAATATACAAACGTTATAAATATAATTCACTTCACTCTTCCGCTTTGTCGCCCGATTCCGTTATTCTCCGGTTTTAAATTAAATTGCCAAATAAATTGTTTTAGGTATCTAAAAGGTGCTTTTATCTTTCGGAAATAGGTTAGCACCATATATTGTTGCTTCTTTTGCTCTTAGAGGAATAGTATGTGCCCTTAATTTCTTCAATTGTTTCTTCGATGATTTGTTTGGAAGTGGATTTTCTGCAGCAATTTTGTTTCGAAAGCAGGGACCTGCTGGGGTCTTGAAAAGGACGACGAATGAGCAACGTTTGATGGGGCCCAGTGACGGATGGATCAAGAGTGGGGGTATTACTGATCAAATGGGGGTATTACTGATCAAACATGAAACGTTTCAGCCGCATTTTTCCCCAAAATTTTTGGCGAGCGGCTGGAGGGGGGACATTTGAAAATATTTACCGTATTTGTTAAATTTTTTGGTAATATTTCCGTAAATTTAGATTTTTAAAATTTTAATTTTAATATCTTAATCTTGATTATCAAAATTACAATTTGTATTTTTTTATCTTTTCCAATTTTATGGGCCCATGATGGCAGGGGCCCACAACAAGTTCTTGTCGGCTCGTCCCTAGCCAGCACGGCCGTGTTCGAAAACAATAGTTACTGCTCACTGCTCACTATGGCCTCAGAGTAACTGCTGAGGGAGCCAACCATTTCAACTAATTTCTAATATATTGATCAATCGCACAACCGGGGTGGGAATGGTGGAGTGCATATTGTCAACACAGACGCTTGTCAAACAAGGATGCATGAGGGCAAAATTAATTTGGTAAAATTGTTCTCGATTAAGAGAATGTCGAGCACAATTAATTTTAAGTTTAGTAATGACAGCCAGGAAAATATGGTTCCAGATAAACTGGTAAAGTAAAGTTAATTAGTCATGAGCACTATATATAGTGCAATTCGAAATGAAAAACATGTATTACAAAGATATCTAATCTAATAATACATTACAAAGAAATGAAAGAAGAATTTTCCAAGTTCAGCAACGATGGTTACCTAAATTATACTCTCCTATAAGTTTTGAAAACAATCAAACTAATTCTGTTTATGCAAATTATAATACTAAAATAAACGGAATATATGCTGTTCGTAAAAACTAATAAGCCAATTAACGCAAGAAATTAAATGTAACTTCAAACAACATTATAAATGAAAGTATAAAAGTGCGCATCAATGTTATGCCATATTATTGTTTGTGGAATCCTGATCCAAGACTACATCTTGCATGGCGGGAATAAGACCTTTACGGAATGCAATTGAGAGCAATTCTTCGGCATCTTTGACATCTGGGTACTCGTGAGCAGCCCACTTGAGGTACAATGCAAACTCGTTCCAGTCAACCGAACCATCTTCATCCATATCAATAGCTTTCAGCGCGCGTTTTGTTTCGTCACATCTGTAACAGCCAAAATACGGTGCCAAAAAACCATTGTAGAAAGAATCGAATTCTAGCTTGTCGTCTCCCTGTACCTCGTCGCTAAGATCCCATTCATCCCACATTTTACGAATCTCAGCCAACAACTCGTTAATATGTAACCTTCTTGGTTTGTCTGCAGCAATAGCATCAGCCATTTCACCGGTGAGTTTGCCACCAGCACGATCAAATAACACAGCCAGACCAACTTTGCTCATGTACTCTTCTTTGCGGCCATTGCGAAGATCTTCCAGCATCTTTGCCAACATAGCTTGTGCTCTTTCCAAAGTAAATTGTGGATCTTTACCAAAAAGATTGGTCAGTCGATCAACAACCATCTGCGGCGAGGCTAGCGTTGTCATCCTCATCACGGGATTTTCACCAAAGAATTCAGCCATGGAGAATTCTTTCTTGTCAGGGGCGAAGTTGGGCATACCAAATACCATATCTAGAGCTCGCTCTCCGTAAACTGGCTGTTTTGGATGAGGTGGTAATCCAGTGGTAATAAGGGTGACATTCTGAGCAGCTTCACGGAGTTTCACACAACCTTTATACTGATCGAGGACTTTCTTGTTTCCCATTCGGATCATATTCATCAACATAATTGAAGAAGATGCATGACCCATTGAGGCTCCTTCCTCGCAAAGACTCGCCCAGATTCCAGTAGCTCCGTTTATAATGCACTCCATTTGAGTCATGTGAGCAAGTCCCCATTGCTCATGCACGTGGACCAGCAAATGACCTTTCTTCTCTGCGTGCTCTGTCCAACCATTGTCATCCATCACTTTCCGAACGGCAGCAGTCCAAACACCGAGCTCTTCAGGAAGATTTTTGCCAGATTCTTCGTAGATGATTGCAAAGGGACGCTCGTGTTCAGGCAAGGACGACAGGAATTTGACCACTTCTAACACACTTTCAGGTTTCAATCTCATGGCGTCCGAGAAATCACGGATGTTAAAAAGAACTCTGGATTCTTTGTGCAACTCCGACCGGCACCAATCCATTCTCTTCTTCATGAGAGCACATATATCGTTCACTGTAAACTTCGTATAGTCGATTCCCTTGTAAACGATATCAAATTCTATGACAGCATGTCGGATTCCTAGCTGCTTCATTTTCTCTAAACCGACTGGAAGCTTCTTGATGTTGGGAACTCTATCTTTATCGATTGACTCGATGAATTCACTGAAGGCGTAGAGGTTGCTGAAATCTTCTCCTGCCTTTGCGAGTGCTTCACAGAACTTGTCTCCTAGGCGGGTCATGTGCGAGAAGGAAGCAACAATGATATTCTGATAGCCGACTTTCTTAACCTGTTAATAAAATGAAGGAATGACAATAAATAACCATGCTCGCACCTCCATATTTCCATGTGTGTCAAGCCACTGTTTCCAAAGTAATATTTTTTTCCCTCTATGAAAACAAATAATGAGGCATGAGTAGAATTAACTCAAAGGCCCCAGTGCACAGATCAGATGAACAAGTCATTGCGAGCTTGCTTAGGAGCATCGTTTTCTCTGCTGTTGTTGTAGTTTCGCTGGTTTTTGTAAACTACGAAATGTTTGAGGAATCGTTTGCACTGTCGCGACCCGTGTGACAAATGTTTTGCAATCTAACTATTACATCGTAACTGGTGTATCGTGTGAATGCTTGTTTGGCCTACAATATGGCTGAACTTGTATTGTAGAAATATTGAGGATAATGGCTCTTATTGATGACTTCAATGAAGAGAAACTTATCAAAATAACACTTGGACATGTTATCAAGTCGTCCAAACTTAAAAATTCAGTTGATGTAAAATATTATAAGTATGTGCGGTGCCTACTCAGTAGACGCATGCTTATAATATTTTCCCCGAGCCGACGGCGCGAAGCGCCGTGCGAGGGTACTACTATTCCCACGGCTATTTACACCCGAGGAAACGAAAGCATTAGCGAAGTCTAAAGTTAATCAATGACCGCGGGCGTGGGTTACCGTGAGTGGTTCCGTGGGTGGTCATCTCACTGATCTCAAAATATGGCTGTTTGCCAGGAGTGAAGAGGCAACAAATATAAAAAATGCATGTGGGAAAGCTTGGAAAATCGTTTCACATAACAAATTGTTAAACTTTTTATCATTTTTACAGTAAACGTTAACATATATAAGAATTGATTTAGTATGAGAAATCCTAAAGTATAGGGCAAGTTTGTTTCAATTGTCTATGTACGACTTTGTATTAATGTGGCCTTTGTTCTTGATGTTCAAGTCATTCCTGGGCATTGTTTGCGAACGTTTCTTAGTTAAATTAACCTTTGTAGAAGTTCATTATAAAAAAGAAAGCAAATTATTTTCATCAGCGTCCTGTACCAATTAAATATATTTCCTTTGAAGGTGAGAGTAATAAGTAGAAGTTTGATTTGAAGAATTTATATAAATATCGCAAAAAGCAGCTGATTTCAATTCACATTTATAAACGTTTTACGTAGAGTTTCGTTTTGAATTTTACATTAAAATAAAGCCCATAGAAACCAAAATAATATAGCTACTTAATATATTTTAGAAATTGATAGTTCTGTGTTTAAAAGTGTTCAAGTTTCATCTTTTTTTTGCAGCTTTGCACAAAAATTTAAAAATCGTGATTCGTGTTGCCATGACTAACATGACGTACAACGCGAGCCTGCGTTCAGTGTTGGCGTAATTGTGAATACTTCATGTTGAAACAATTCCTGGAAAATATAGGCGAGAGGTTGTTGCATGTATTTATTTCTAGTACATCGACTAAAGGCGCCTTACTCCAGTTGAGCGTTTGAATACACAGCGTTGGAATGGGAGGTATTTTGTCGGTTAAATTTTGTCTAGTTACCCAAAAAAGTAAACAACGTTAACAATTGTGTTTTGGACACGATTTTTTGTCATGTCAACAATTTTAAATGATTGTGAAAGCATTAAAATTGAAGTGATTTTGATCCGCAAACATATTTTACATCTTGGCCATTTATTCTTGGTCGCTCGGACGTATATGTTTAGCTCATTAGTCGAAAATGTTTCGTCCAAACTTTGCACTTTTAGGTCAGATTTTAAGCGTTTCTTGATTTTCATTTGAAAAGATCATCTTGTGGCATAATTCAATGTGAGTTATATTAAAATTATATTAAGTAATTTCTTCATACAAACATTTTAATATAAAATTCTGCGATGAAATATGTATATGTTATTTACCAGATTGGGGGTCCGTATAGAGAAATATTTTTCTAGAGGTCTTAAAAAAGGTCTTTTCTCGAGGCCGAAGGTCGAGGGACGTTTTTAAGACCAAGGGAAATATTTCTCTATACTGATCGACCATACCGGTACATAGAATTTTTTTTAATTCCCCCTCTGAAATTGCCCAACCTCCCCTCCCGCAGGCGAATGAAACTGCCAGATAAAACGTCGTTTCTGTATCAATGCTAAGAAGAGTAATATCTTCTGTGGGATAGTAAAATTTACTTTCACTGTGTTCTTCATCGTCGGGAGACATTTTAATGTTTCAAAAAGTAGCCTTTAAACTCGCTCTACGGCTTTAAGTCTCGCGCGGTGAGCACGGGCTCATACCACTGAGCTATAATATTACTGGAGGAAGTGCTCGGCAAAAAAGTGTCCGCAAAAACATGGCGGATTTTCGCGCCATATGACGCCATTTCCATGACAACTGGTTCCTCCGGCTCATGGAATTACCGCTGACCAGGCTCAATTCTGAGGCCGCGACAATTTTCACTCCCCTCTGGCACAGAGTAGATAAGACATACAGAGACGTAACTGACCGTTGTAAACACTGCGGAAGATTACGTTATCATGTACCCACTTTTTTTCAGGCGACCGGGCGAAAAATGATCAACTGCGCGTGCTCAGCAAGTTTAAAGTGAGTCGTCATCAGGTTGTCATCCAATCAGATGCATGCATCTAGTAACTTGCCGAGCATGCGCACAAAAAAAGTGGGTACACTAGTTACGTCTCTGTATGTCTCTACTCTGTGCCTCTGGTTTTATTAAAAAAATTTTTGCTTTTCGAGGTTTTAGCAGTAAAATCTCGTTGTTTTTTATATTTTTCGACTTTTGACCATTTGTTCAAAGATTTAAAAGTCGTGCACGGTATTCTCGCCCGCGAAAGACAACAAATCAATATGAAAATCCCGAGAGATTTAGGCAAAGGCGATATTTGATGGCAGAGCTAACAGGTAAATCAGATTTCACATTACTATTGATATGCTTTTATTTTTAATTTTTAAAGATAGTGGGCCATGATAGAATATAATCCATTAGATAACAGGCTCTTTGTATAGTATAACGTATTATTTTCCCCCGTATATTCAAAGTCTTGTCGTAAAAAATACAGAAACTTTGTTTTTATATTCAAAGCCGTTTATTTGTTGGGTTTTTTTTTTACTTTACTAGCTTTGTTAAATTGTTGGCTGGCCATGGTTTCTGTTAAACAAATTTTGTTTTATTTAATTCAGTTAAATCAGTTTTTTCCCTCAAATCCTTTGGGTTTTCTATATAGACTGATGACTGAAATTTGACATGCTTGATTTTGCAATTGTATGTGCTTAATAGCTCGTAAATAAGTGTATATACAGGTGCAAAGGCATGAAACAATGTGCTTCTATCTATATTCTTTGTGTTTATATATACTAGAGTCTGTGGTTATTATAGTATGCATAATCTAGGGTGCCAGTAGAATCTAGCCTAGAGGTTCCAGAAGCTCAGGATACTGTGGGCAACTTATCTGGTAAATAAAAATATGATTTCTACCTAGATTTCTGGTTAATGTCATGTTGAATTGAGGATTCTTGAGCCACTGACTAGAAATAAGATTGTACTTCTTGAATGTTGGGTACCAATCACAAGTGTAGGTATAAGCAAAGTATCTAGATTATAGGCTTTATAGGGTTGCACTGGATCTCATTATACAGGCCAGAACTGAGAAAGTCACACATGCTAGTCAGACATCAAGTCAGAAACAATTTAATTGGTAAAAAATGTCACTTCAAGTCCATGCGGGTGGATTTATTTGGGGTTTTGTTCATTTCAGTCCTCTCTCTGTGTACCCCTGTATCAGATGCAACTACCTGAAACTAAGAAATCAATGAGCTTCAACATTTCAGGTGAAAGACCTATAGTATTATTTTTCAGGTAGTTGCATGATACATTGAAGCCTTTAAATAGTGTGGTGGCTTAAGCCGCTTTTCTCATTTCCATTCTTCACTTTCTTACTCTCTTGTCTCTTAGTAAAAACTTTATTTTACAACATTTTAATTATATAATCTCTTTTTGGTCTAATTGCAGAATTATTTGATGGTGAGACAGTTCATAGTTCAACCTCTTTATTAAAGAATAATCAACTATCATTTATTAGAAATAATTAATTTTGTTAGCAGTGATAAAACTATCCAGACAAGTTATTATATTATGACTTTGTAGCCAGATGGGTATGATTTGGCTTTGGCTGTTCAGCATTTTGATCCATTGTGATATGGCTTGTGGTACCTGTGAATGATTTTACCTGCAAAGTGAATGACAGAATATCAGAATGTAACATTATATTAAGATACATCCTTACACTGCAATTATATAATTATGTAGTAGATGTTCATTGTGAAGAATATGGTCTTTGACACTCTTTGTATATAATAAACATGCTATTGTGTAATGGAAATGATCAAATAAAGTTATTTCTGCAACAGACCTTGAATTCAAACACCTTATTTGTATTTTTCTTGTTCATGCTTGAGCATCAGCCTCAGGATAAGCAAATTCCATTGGATTTGTGAGGGCACTTGAACTATATATTGGGTCATTACATCAATAACAGAAAAGATTCAGACTCCCACAGCCTGTGCTACAAGTTACAGCTGTGACAGTGTAGAGGGGGGATCCACAAGTAAAATGTGCTAGAATATCCAAAGGGGGGGGGGTGATACACATTAAAAAAATGATGTTTAATATGACTTAAAATTATTAATCAATTGAGTGCACCAGCACTTTCCCCTTAACAAGTAAAATTATCTGGTATTGGACTGAGTAAGATAACAAAGTAGGGCATAGTGTTCCTTAATTAATCACTTATAATAAAGGGTTAAATGCTGATTTTTTGAAAGTGCCAGAGTGGCAACTGGCAGGGTACTGAAAAGGTAAGTTGTGCACATGCATCCTAAATAAATACTGCTAAAAAACCTGGTACTTAACAGTTAAAACCAATCACGAATTTCATTATTTCAAAGTAATATAAAATAAAACAAGTCGGGAAAAGGATTTTGAACCCAAGATATGAGACAAAATTTAATTTACAGTATGAGAATGAGTTTGAATATGAAGAACAACAAAAAAGAGGATACAAAACTACTGTGATATTGTTGATATTAGCAATATTATACATTTGCTGTTTATAACGATAGTTTTTGACAGAACGTATTTACGCTTTTCCATCGAAATGGCAAGTTTAATAAATTTGCCCGAAGCAGCCCAAGCTTTGGCAAGCAAGAACTGAAAAAAGTAAAAGAAATAAAACTTTTGTGAATCTTACCTGAAAACAAGAAATATAATAATCCTTTTGAGTGAATTGTTTCATCTACAAGCTGGCTAAAAACTTAAAACTAACACACTTTTTTCTCGACTGCAAAAATATCAAAATGTTCAGTTGGAACTCGAAAATTATGAAAAACCAGGGGAGTGTAGGATTTTATTTCAAGCGTAGGATCGCGGTTGGCCAGTGGTAATTGCCATGAGCCGGAGGAACCAATTGGCGTCAGCAAACATGAAAATCCGGACACTCGTTTGACTGACGGATAGATAGGAGCACGTCCTCCGGTAATATTATAGCTCAGTGGCTCATACGGACCGTTCGAGTAGTCAATCAGATTGCAGAAAAGCGTAAAATATGATTTTACCGCAAGAGAAAAACAATTCATGTTAATATTTTATTTAAAAAAAATTGTTTGGTTTTACAACTTTGTTAAAAAATATATAAAAAGAAGCAAATGTCATGTTACCATGGAATAGAAGTTAGGTTTGATACTCCAGTAAGTGAACCTTACTTTGTGAATCTTATGTCATTTTTGTTCTTGTCTTTTTAAAAATGTTAAACACTTTGTTGTAAATTTCTTAGATTTTAAAACTTTCCCAGTGGATAGCATATCCCAGACCCTATTGGTGTGAGTTGTGGTACTTACAAAAACATGCCATGCAAGTACTTAACTGTAGATTTACAGCATAATGCAACACTGTACATCCAAAACTCTGTTTCAGAAAACGCACAAAATACGAAACGAGGCCCCCTATTACATACTACACCACACCCAATTTTTCTCACCAACAATCATCTGTCATCACTCCATACTCAGCATAGTATTGTACCTTTGTGCAGATGCCAACCCCCTGCCTAATCTTAAAAAAGACTCTGCGCACAAACGAACAATGAGTTGTTACTACTAGTTTATACCTCAAAGGAAAAAAATTGAAAATCCATAGAATGGAAATTGTATGGATCTTTATTGGAAATAGAATGGATTTTTGATGATCCATAATAATTGCATATTTCCATACTATGGATATAGTGTATCAAAATAGTATGGATATACTATGGATTTAGTGGTGCAATTGCAAATGTCATAGTATGGATTTCACATTTTTTTCTCAGTGCCTGTTCAGATCAGTAATTACTCACCTCTTCGTATATCTTCCATTTATTTTCCAGAGTATGACCTCGCAATTGTCCCACAGTACTCTCGCGAAGAGAATTGTCAAGAACAAATAATTCGGTTTCTCTAAGTTTCTTGCGTTTGTGCGTCTCCGCAGATAACGCGTCTTTCATATTTGCAACCACTTTAGACAATGCCATTTTTCTGTAAACTGCAACAAAAATTTTCTTTAGCAAACCGTGGTAAACGTTTTTAGATAGTCGTAGACGTATGTACGCAAAGCATTCCAAATTTTGGTAAGCGAGGAAAATTATTCCTATTACCTGCGGTTAATGTGTTGTATATAGGTCAAGAAGCTAGAGTTAATTCAATGTCTTCTCAAGGACATAGTATGGTGGTCTTCCACTCAAAATGTCGATATTTTTCACTTTTTTGAAAGTAGCAAATTGTCATGCTTATTTATTATATTTTCATGTTGTCAAGCATTTCTTCATTAAATAGGAGAAAAATTTGAAATACTGAACAAATGTACCATTTTTTTCCTTAGCAACCACCTTAGCAACGAATAGTTTACTGTGAATCTTACCGATTGGTTTTGAAAAAAATATACAAATAATTACCCACCCCTCCCTGATTTCTTTTTATCAGAACCATCAAGGACATTTAATACATGTTTACATGAAGTATTTCGTTTGGAAAAGTGGCTTTATAAACTGATTTCAACAGCGAAACTTTAAGCGAAGCATTTTCTCATTTGCAATTTAATTTTTCGCATCAATAGTATTTGTTTGGTGTTAAAAGTTGGTTTGAAATGCGACGTGCTCGATCTGGTTATTCAAAAAAGCGAAAATTTTGTGGTAATCAGCACACACATCAAAGAAACGGGTCGGAGGACTGTGGTGAATCATGTCAGCCATAATGAACAGCCTAAACGAAAACGACTCTAGGAAAATAAATCCTTCAAAGCGACTAAAGGCTGCTGATGACTTAATATCTACGGGTACACCAATCGTAAGTAGGATTCGGTTTGTTGATATGACAAGAGCACTGCTAAAATATGGAACCATAAAAATATGAAACAAACAAACTCATTAAAATATGGAACAATCTCCCGAAGGATATTAAGACGAAACCTAGCGTTAATTCCTTTAAGTTTGCCCTTAAAAATTATTTCTTAGAATCTTATAAGGGCATCGATCGCTTTGAATTACTATTGTGATCAGCAAGTTGTACTCTATATAATTTGTATATATAAATTTATAATCTTTTACATATTTACTCTAAGTAGCTTTTAGACGTTTTAAAGTAGAATTAATAACTTTGTATGTATTGTATATGAGGGCCACAGGTTTTTCAGTTATATTGCTGTCATGTGTTTTTACCCTCTATAAATAAAGTTGTTCATTCACTCAAGGGCTGTGAAAGAGGTTTCGTCGGAAACAATGATTATTGCTGCTACAGAGCTTCATGATTTAAAACCAGAGTCCAAAAATGGGCTGGTCAAATGTGGAATATCTTGTGATGGCACTTGGCAAAGAAGAGGATTTGCCTCCCTGAATGGCTGTGTAAGCGTTATCAGCATTGATACGGGAAAGGTGCTTGATGTTGAGGCACTTAGCAAAGTGTGTAAAAAATGTAAACTAAAAAAACCCCTCCCCCCCAAAAAAAATGCTACATGGAGGAAAGATCATCAAGATACGTGCAAGGCTAATCACCACACCAGCCACGGAACCTGAGGGAGCATCTAGAATGTTTAAACGTTCAATAGAAAGCCTTAAGTTAGTATATGATGAGTATTTTGGTGATAAAGACAGCAAAAGCTTTGAGACTGTAAAGGATACATACAAAGATCATGGGCTTATTGTTCAGAAAAAGGAATGTGTGGGTCATGTTCAGAAGCGATTGGGAACTGCATGCTTTACGAAAACTAAAGAAAGAAAACAAGGATTTAGGGGGGAAAGGGAAATTAACAGATAAAATGATAGACAAACTGAAAAATTATTACGGTATTGCAATACGAAGTAATTCTGGCAATTTGGAGGGAATGAAGAAATAAGCTATTTATGCTTGCTTGTTTCATTGCGCATCAACAGAGAAACGAACACTACATCCTCATTGCCCAGAAGGTCAGGACAGTTGGTGCAGTTACAAGGCAAATAAAACGAATAAATACAAACATGGAGCTGGCATGCCTGTGGAAATTGCGGTGCAGTTAAAAAGCAACATTTGACAGGCTAAGTGTTGATGGCCTTTTGCCAAGATGTTTAGATAGCAAGACTCAAAATCAGAATGAGTCTCTAAATGAATGATTTAGGAACGGTTACCAAAACAAACATTTGTCGAATGTACTGCAACTTGGAGTACATGATGCTATTGCCCACTTCAATATTGGATGTGAAGCTTTTATTCAAGTTCTGAAGAGCATTGGCATTAATCCTGGAATATATTGTAAAGCTGAATGTTCTCGATATGATAACCTTAGGTTGAAAAAAGCGGACTATAAAGAACAAGATAATGTAAAATTGCGGAGAAAAGTTCTACGTGGGAGGAAGAGGAAGAAGGGGGACCAGGATCAAGAAAAGGAGGGAGAAACTTATGCATGTCACTCACTTTAGATTGCATCAAACATTTTTGCTGAGAATGAGCTCCAATTATGAGGGATATAAGTGAGCCCACATATTATCTTAAACTTCGAAACTTGATTTATAATTGTTCCAATTCAGAAATTTGGCCACCCCGTAGTGTTCTGAAAAGGATATCTCAAGAAATACTTGTAGTAATTATTTGAAACTTTCACAAATGCTTGTTCTGATATTGCTTTGTGTTCCGAACCAACAAAAATGACAAATGTCCTATAATTGTAGTAAATTATTGACATGTTGTTGTTAGCCTCTCCTAACAAATTCTTCATTTGTTAGGAAAATTCACATATATTTTTACTTGTAATAAAATATATGAGTATTTGTGTGGTTCAGAAAATGGAGCAACCTTTTCTGTACACTTTAAGCCTTTTTTTTGAGAATTTTAGACCAGTGGTTCTTAAGTTATCTTTTGCACAAAACATGGCCGTTTTCTAGAGTTTGGGGCCTCCAAACTGGTTACCATGGCAACAACATGTGTATCGAAAACATAATTTCAGTTATTCAGTGTCACTATACCTTCCATGGGGTACAAAAATATATAATTTTAACGTAATTTTAAACTTTTTTCAATTTTGAGTGGAATACCACCTCTTGTATCAGAAAATTCAAAGACTAAAGGGCAGAAAATAAGGTGGTAGAAATCAGCAAAAAGTGACGTTAAACTGTTCAAACGGGCAACATTAATGAAATTCACTGTTCCTGCTGCTGTAGTTGTAAATTTTAATAAATTCATTTTTAATCCGGCCAAAATTTGATCTTTGTATGCTGTCACTTAGGCCACATTGTTGCCATAGCAACACACAATTTGCTCCTTTCGAACGATTATGCATGCTTGAAGTATAAAGATTACGCAAGCGATTCTAGTTCCAAAAAAATCCCCGTTTCACATAAATAGCAAAATTTAGCGTCATTGCGAAGAAATTATTTTCGCTGCTGTCCCTTTACAACCGTAGGGAACCACTTTAACCAAGAACAATTTAAGCATATAGATGATTTAAGTAAGCACTTCCAAGCACTTTCAAGTTTTGTGCGAAAATAAGTACCAATTACCTCTGTCAGGAAGTTGTGCTTCCATCCGCGTTTGTACAGTATGTGTGTGTGTGTCCCTGTCTGTCTGTATGTTTGTTTGTCAAGACAGTATCGCAAGGACAGTTCCCCCAGAGACTTGGGGGAAACCAGGGGAAGTTCAATTTTCTGGACTCCACGTCAAAGAGGATCCCAAATAACAAAATTGTGAATAAACTACGGAACACTAACAAATTATTTCTCAGAACGCCAATATTTAATTTTACTTTGGCTTCCTGAGAAACAACTTGCCGTAGTTTATTCACAATATTATTGTTATTTGGGGTCATCTCTCTGGGGTCCTCTATAACCTGAAGCCAAGGAAATGTACCTCCCCTTCCCCGCCCATCTGGCTAGCACATATGTACATCACATGCATAACTTCAGACAGTATTTCTTAATGAATTTCTAAATGGAAATTGCGAGTGGAAGGAGCAGTTGCAAAAATTGCAAATATCGGTCCTCAGGCAGGAACGGAACCCGCAAGTTAGGTCTAATACCACTAACAATTCCACTCGCAATTTCCATGTACAAATTCCTTCAACAATTAAGGCCAATTAGTATCGAGTCCTAAAGCCTAACAGAGAGAAAATTGGTAAGAAAATTGGTAAAAATGGAATGTAAATCTAATACTTGGAATAAAGTTTAGTACACTTCAATTTATGCTAAACCAAAAAGTTATAGCTGAATAGATTGCCGTTCCCAGAGTGCCGTTCTCAGTTTAGGCGTGCTAATCCAAAACGTTTAGAACAAAAATTTCGTCGTATAAACGCAACAGGCGGACCAAAAATCTTGAATCCGCGTGCCAAATATAAGCGTGTAATATAAGTTCTCTTTCATCTTTTCAGCTAATTAATATTCAAGGTGTTTATTAAAAACTTTTCTTTGTATTAAAGATTTTTCTTTGTATTAAAGCATAGCCTATCGAAGGAAATATGGCTGTGAAACTCATTAGAATAACAATATAACTCATTGTCTATGTTGGTCAACGTTTATTCATAAATATGGTCCTTCACCGTCACGTGTGCATTGTATTTTTGCCCAACCAATCAATATGAATGTTTTAGGAAAGTCACCTATCCGTGACTCCAACAATAGGGAAACTGGAAATTGCTATTGGTGGATTTTCTAAAAATACAATAAACACGTGGCGGTGAAAGGACCAGATTTATGAATAAATGTTGACTAACATAGATAATGCGTTATATTGTTATTCTAATGAGTTTCACAGCCATATTCCCTTCGATAGGCTATGATTAAAGTCAAGGTGATTATTAACAATAATCACCTCGGTACATGAAAGAAAACCGACTCAACAATTTACAAACACTTTAAATTTCAAAGCTGATTTGTGATTTTTCATGGCGGTCGTAAGCCGCAGAATACACGACGTTTGCTAATTGCTAAATACCGTCAACTCGGTCGAAACGATTTTTAAGTCCATATACGCGATGTTGCCAATAGTATCGCTAAATGTTTCTAATATTCTTGGGTTTCATATGACGTCACAAAAGTGACGGGAGGGGGGGGGGGTCAACTCTAAAACAAAACACATTTATCAGAGAGAGTAGGTGGCAAATATGTGGGGGTTCGTGTCATATTCTCACTCCAGCATAAGCATCAACACATTTGAGGTTGGCCCCCGTCGGATTTACTGCATAATGCCGTAGTGAAATCCAAGAATAGACATCGCTAAATCTAAACGGTCAATACACGAACTCATTGTCGCTGCTTAATTAAGGCTAGTTTCCACTCAGGAAAATTATTCATGGTTGGAACGGACAAGAATATTTTGTATTAAAGTCATTAGTTCCAACCCAGAGCTCACAAGAAAAAGAGAAGTTTTCTTGTCCGTTCCAATCCACGGATAATTTTCCTGAGTGGAAACTAGCCTTTACTAAATAGTGAGAGGGTCAAATGCGAGACGATTTTTTGCTTATAGTAATTGCATATAGCATCAAATCACCTTTGAAACTGGAGTTTATTCTGTATTATATAATACTTATTGAATTCTGAATTTCTGATCGTTTAATTGGCTGTTTACGGTCACGTGATATTGACTATAAAATTCGATTTCCCAAGAGTGCAATGGATTGAATGGAATACGTTCCATTGCACTTTTTGCGAGTGCAATTGTAGCCTATACTATACGTTTTATTTCATTGCACTCTTTGTGATTTCGATAAATCGCATCCATCAAAATGCATCTCATACGAATATATTAGTCTATTTTGGTATTATATAAAACAAATATGAATGTTTATTCGTGCAATGGTAAGAATATTTTCATTCGGTGAAAGATGGGATGATCCATTCAACTAGGCTGTCGCCTCGTTGAATCGGGAACATTCCATCTTTTACCGAATGAAAATATTCTTACTATTGCAAGAATTCATTATTATTAATTCATTCATTATTTGTATATCACTATAGAGCGCTTTTCGATTGACTTTTTCTATTCGCAGATTTTAGATTCAGACTTTATTACGCTGAACGCTAACGTTCACAACCTGTAGTATTGTGTCAATTCAGTCGATCAATTGCAGAATTTGAAAATTTATGTCTAAATATTATCCAACAAAATGACTTAATAAATTTGAGTTGCGAAATTTATGAGCCAAAGTTATTCTTGCGCATCGTCTGTGCATGGACAGTTGACTGTATTATTCCCTCTAGAAGTGTACCTTTCTTTATTTTGCATTGAATGCTAGGACAATAATTATTTATATATTTAATAGACAGTTGAGTCTATTCTACTAGTTAAATTTATAAAGTTCTTCAACAAGCCTTCGAGTACAGCTAGGTCGTAGGTTATATATGGACTGATAGCCGAGAGCTTAAATTGCTCCATACTGAATATTTATCAGTTACAGCCGGAGAACGTCAGTCTCTTATATTTCACCAAGGCTGCGTATATGATCTACAATCTTTTCACTTGTATTGTGCTTATAAGTGAAACACAAATAATGATGGAACAGTTGAATACTTTGATAAAGATATATATTTTAATGATTCTATGCATTCACAGCTACATGTTATGATTTGACTGTAATTGGCGAATATATAGTCTTCAGACATTGGTGGGAAGTTATTTTCAGTGCCGCTCTGATCTTCTGAGAATTTAGTACATTGCTTCACTTGTGTCTTGTTGAACTATCAGAGTTATAGAATGGGTGATCGGAGTTATTATTGGCGCAGGTAGTTAAATATTAAAACAGTAATAAAATTTGGACTTACCAAAGTTGACGAATGGTGACTTACTGACGTTTAGGTAATCTTTGAAGATTCTGCAAGAAATCGATGCAAACGGTTTCAGATGGACTTTCGTTCTGAGACGGCACCTTAATTAGTCGTGTTATATACTATGTTCAAAACGGGTTTGACTACCTCAAGGGCGTAGTCGTGGTATCTTAGTAAAACCATAACAATTTAAGGAAACCGGTTGTAAACATTTTAACTTGTTCAGAGCATCACGTGACTGAGGGGCGTCTATGAGTACTTTATGCCACAATAATGAGATAATTGGTTTATTCAAATCTTTCAATTAACCAGTGACACATTTGCATTTTTTAGTCACGTATATCAGTCTAACATTCCAAGGACCAACTTGGACTTAGTCTCATATCGAAGAATTATATCTTTAGCGATTTAAATTGCATTGACGTTTGAAGCAATTTTGTAAATATTGTAATGTAGTTACCTTTATACACTTTGAAAAATTTGCATTTAAGTTATTTGTATGATTGTATGGCATTCTTTACAGCGAAATAACACTAGGGGTCTTTAAAGTATTTTCTAGTGGGTTTTTTTGTTGTTGTTTTTTTAAGTTATTTGTATGGTTGTATGGCATTCTTTGCAGCGAAATAACACTAGGGGTCTTTAAAGTGACAAAAGTGACGG